ACCAACAGCAGCAGCGGCAGCAACATCAACATCAACGTCAACGTCAACGTCAACGTCATCGTCAACGACAACGACAACGACAACGACAACGGCAACAACAATATCGCCAGCAGCAATCATCAACATCAACATCACACCAACATCAACAGCGACAGCAACTGCAGCTAACAGCAGCAGCAGCAACATTATCAAGAAGATTACCATATATAGCAGCAATTGTAACAACAACAACAACAACATCTAATAAAAGCAACATTAAGGACAGTTGTGTTCAACATAATTATTATAATATATAAGAATAGGATACAAATAATTACAATAACAGTTTTAGCAATAGCAACAGCACGGTGAAGGCGGCCGGACCGCCAAGGCCACGGAGGGAGTGTAACGGTTTTGTTTAGATTTCCCGCACGTTTAAACACCAGAAGGCGCCGTTGTAAACAGATGTGGCGGCCCAGGCCCGACTGCCACACCGAGGTATGTTCAGGTATGTTGAGATTCGCATGTTGAAAAATCGTCACCGTGTGAATATGAAGAGCAGCCACACTAAAACATCGAAGTAACAATGACAACAATCACATCAACAATAACAATCGAAACCACCACAACCACAGCAGCGCCAGCACCAGCACCAGCAACAACAACAGACCGACAATGCCCCTCAGCATTCGCCGCGCTAGCCTCGATAGGCCGTATCCGCTCATCCTGCCGTCACTTACACACGGCCACCCCCACAAATCTAACTGGCCTACCCCAGCCTAGTCTGCCCCACCCCGCCAAACGCCGACCTTCCGACCCACCCGCTTACCGACCCGCGCACACAAAAGCCTTCTATAAATCCTACACACTTCATCCTGAGCTCCCGATTGCAAGAGGCCTCTTCCGATGCGGAGATGACATGAGATGACTATCAGCTTCAGCCTTGGAGGGAAATAACACGCCGTCTCGGTTCAGAGCATTGCAGCTTGGGTGACACTGATGTGCAAGACAGTTCAGCTCACTGATCTAAAGTCTGTTGATGGCTCAGGTGTGGCACCGCCTGGCATGGTATATAGCTGAGCCAGGATTGCCATGATCTGTAGCTCTTGGAAAAGCACTTGACGCTCCAAACTCACTGCCACTGCTACCGTTACCTGTGCTGCCATCACTGCCGGTACTGGAACCACCACTACCGGAACCACCACTACTGCCATACCACCGCTACCACTGGCACTACCACACTGCCACTCTTACTTCGGGCAGCGTCATTTTCCAAACGATGCAACTGATATTTGATGGTAACCGGATGCAATTGAATGCGATCGAGCTGCTTGCAAGGTTTTAGAAAGGGAACTGCAACTTCCGCTGTTTTTCTCATCCAAGCACCTTGGGTAAGCATGAGGTAAAACCGCAGCATGCTGTAGTCACAAACCCTGAACCTGGGTCCAAAGCCTTACGCTTTGCACACCCGTACCGGGAAGCCGAGAATACCCGTCAACGTGATTCCCGAAACCACTCAAGACCTAAAGCCCTACTTCGACAGCCACCAGCAGCCAGAGTTCCGAACACGGCGATGCTCTTTGAAGGAGCGGGTTTCGCCTCCGAAGTTAAATCTGCGTTGTTTTTGGACTTGTGTAGGCGCTGATTTTTTTGCATGTGCAGGGTCGTAGGGACAGAGGACGGTGGAGCAAGTCTTTAGAAACGTTGCGCGTTTTTCGCATTTCTAGTGAAGTGTACCAGTCAGCAACCCAAGATCCCTGAGCCCCTTCCGTACAGTCATATCTTCTAGGAGACTTCCCCAAGGCCTTCCAAGGCCTGTTGCGAACCTATCTGTTCTTGAACCCTGCGCATCCAGGCCAGCAAGGCCTTAGGACTGGCCACGGTTTGTGCTGTCAAACCCGGTATCATGACGCGGTCCGCAGGAGACCCATGTGCGCTCGCTTCGCAATACGCTGAGGCCGACATGTTCGGAAGCTGGTGATGGACCCGAGCTCGTGAGCGTAGTGGGCGTTGGGGGGACGAAGCTTCGTTTTGTTGCACCTGGCCGAGCATCCGGCGATGTGGTCAGCCTGGCTTTGCAAGCCAACGAGACTGCAGACATGATCAGCACGAGACGCTAGCCGCTAGACCTGCAGCCTTGCAGCCATTGTCTTTTTCCCTCTGTCCAGGCCTTGCTGAAATGGGTCTTCCAGAAGACACCGCAGGCAGGAAACATTCCAGAGTCGTCAAGTCGTCCTAATCCTCGGTGCCTCTTCCCAGAGGAGCGAGTCTTCCTTGAGACGCAGGTGCACTCCCAGCGTGTGCGGTCGCCGGCGCTGCCGCTGTGCGGCATCCCAGTGCGAGTATGTTGCTGCAAGGCCACGGTCTTGGCGTAAGTGGTTCCTGTGGTTGCCATGTGGAGCTGCAAGGCCTAGCCGAGCCCATCTGCAACGCCACACATGAGGGTCCCAGGGTGGTTTGAGGATTCGGTTCACCTTCTTGACGAAACCCAGCGGTAACTTTTGGAGCCAAGGCCGGCTCTGCGAGGCGATCGCAGCCGGGAGGCCATCGCCATGCGCAAGGGAGGGGGCGCAGGGAGTGCAGGTGCGACGCGTGCGACGCGTGCATCGCGTTCGTAGTTTGTGACACGGTTCCTGCAGCGAACCGTTGCTACTTCCAGCAAGTCGATCAGTGAATCAATGAAGCAGTCAAGCCTTGGCAGGATACCGATTTCTGTGCTGAGTCTCCCAAAAAGCCGCTCGGATTCTACCAAAGCAGCCGTGGACGTGAAGTGCACTGGATCGACAAGGAAGCATGTGACGGCTCCAAGGCTGGGGACTCCGCTTCCGACTACGCCCACGAACCGACCGGCTGTGCTTCTCGGCCTTGTGTGCGGCTTTGTGGATGTCCGCGCTGGCCCTCCAGTTAAGGTGCCGGCCGTGCCGTCCACACCGTCCCAGTGATCAGACGGAGTGCCCTTCGCCAAGCGACTTCTTGCAGGACACTCTGGCCTAAGGGCCGTAAGAGGAGGGGGGATGCAACAGATTGATTGATACAAATTGCAGTAGGAACGCTCAGATTCACACGTCAAAAATTGCCAGGACCTAGAGGGCGTGGAGGTGGAGGCACGGCATTACATGTGAGCCTGTGGACAGTAGTATTACCAAATGACGATCTTCCGGTTCCGCCGCTGCACGGCACGGCGCACAACTGCAAATTAACGCACCCTGCAGGGTGTACAGTACTATCCCTGGGCGTCAGTGCCCCTTTCTGGAATGTCCTCCGACAAGTCGACCGTTTCGGAAAACAAGAAGAGCCCCGACACGCATTGTAAGAGGTTCTTGTGCTGTGCAAAAGCTACGAAGCGATGATTCCTTGATCGTTCGGCGAAGTCTTCGGGGCTCGATTGCGGCGAAATGCATGCGGTTGCTGGCGACATTGACTGTTAATTAAGCTCCTGTTCAACAAGACAGGCATTTAACACTTCAACCCGAACTGCAGACCTTGAAGCCAGAGTATATATTCGAGACACATCGAGACTTTCCGTGTTGATGTTTGGCGGTCTGCATCACGCGATGCATTTGTATCTTGATGAAGGGTCGCCTGGTATGCGGCATCATGTTCTCATTGCACTTGCCGGGAACCGCGGAAGGGCATGCATACCGTGCTTAAGTTGCCACCGGGTGTTCCATACTAAGCTGAATCGGCCTCAGCCTGTCACCCCGAACTATGCGCGAAAGTCGTCGGTGTGGATTCGTTGAAAATTATGTTTGTTCACCTTTGGATGTTGACACAAGCCGAAGAGCCGAAGACAGTGATTCGCTAAAATGCGTCATTTTCGGCCAAGATGGGTCAATTTCGTTTTGTGTTTCAAACTCCTCGAGAAGCCCCCGAAGGACGCGAGAAGTAGAGCGCAGCAGCAGTGTAAATTGCCATTCTTGACTTCTCATTACCGCACAAATCCGCGCACAAAAAGGCATATGTAAGTGCAAGTAATTACTGGTAGACCTCGTGGGAGCAGCGTTCGCATTCGCTCGCAGCATTTTGGCACGTAGCTCGCAATCAAACCGTTTCCGCTGAGCATGAGCTTCGGAGCGGTCAGCCTTGATTTTGCATTGTGTGTGTCTCCTTGCTAACTTTATCGGGCATGAGCTGTTGTCCCTGTCAGGCTGCGTCACTGACCAAGCTGTTTCCGGAGCCCCTCGGCCCAGACTCCTCAGATTACTGTGGTCTCCATGAAGAGCATGGACTCTTACCAGGTTAGCACTACGGCTGCTGCCCTTTGTTGCAGCACCTTGACCGCTGAGCTCAGCTGTTGTGCCGTTTTCTGGAGACGGCCGCGTTGGTTTGGCAATGCTCGGAGGTATGTGATTTGCCGGCGTTCCGGACTATCTGTCGCGAGCCCTCGCCGATGAAGGCAGTTCTTGCAATTTTGCTGGTGGGAGGTTTCAGGTTTGTGACATACAGTACTTCACCGACTTTTGACTGCCGATCCCTCTGCAGGTATTCTTGCCAGAGCTTCTGGAGCGAGTGGAGCCGCTTGTATTGTACTCGGAAAACCGCATGTTAAATGTGTCCGGACAACATGTCTTGTGCATGGCGCGTCAGATTGGTACTGTGGCATAAACATGTTCGGGTCGAGCTGCAAAGTGAGCTGCGTTCATGCAATTCGAGGAACAATTCCTCCCGAACTTTGCCCCAGTCACAGGAATTCTGTTACATGGATGACCGACGTGGGGATCCAGTTCAGGTCCGTCCTCCAGTTCACGATGCTCCTCCAGTTCACGTCACGGCAAGCCAGCAGGTACTGCTTGAGAGCACTCTCAGGGCTGCTGAGCCTTTCATCTGGAGCGGCACGCTTGCCCATGCAGCGAGAAGGCGCAAGCGTCGCAACGATCGTGCCGATCCCGGGCGCCCTTGACGGACATTCGCGACGGCAACAAAAGCTTAGCTTTGCCGCCAGCTGCATGTAGCGGACGTAGCCCATCCAGGAATGCCTCCATGCAGACACTTTTTGGCTCGAGCATCGTCGCGACCTCGGCATGGCCATGGCTGGCGAGGTATGATGGGGGGCAGGGTGTGCTGAACGTTGAATTGTCGGCTTTAGGTTCAGGGTTATCGGGTTTGGGGTTGAGGATTTGGTCTTCACGTTTTAGGTTCCAACCGGTTTGCAGTTTGGGGTTTAGGATATGGGGCTTAGAGTTTGGGGTCTATACGGTTTGGGGTGTAACGTTTCGGGTTTCAGGGTAGGGAGGGGGTGAGTTGGGGCTGGCATGCTCGCAATATTAAGATGCTCTTTGTAACACTCTCGAATGGACTGCTTTTGGGATCAACATAATTATATAAGAATAGGATACAAATATTTACAATAACAGTTTTAGCAATAGCAACAGCACGGTGAAGGCGGCCGGACCGCCAAGGCCACGGAGGGAGTGTAACGGTTTTGTTTAGATTTCCCGCACGTTTAAACACCAGAAGGCGCCGTTGTAAACAGATTTGACGGCCCAGGCCCGACTGCCACACCGAGGTAGTATAAGATATCTGTTCAGGTATGTTGAGATTCGAATGTTGAAAAATCGTCACCGTGTGAATATGAAGAGCAGCCATGCTAAAAAATCGAAGTAAGAATGACAACAATCACATCAACAATAACAATCGAAACCACCACAACCACAGCAGCGCCAGCACCAGCACCAGCAACAACAACAGACCGACAATGCCCCTCAGCATTCGCCGCGCTAGCCTCGATAGGCCGTATCCGCTCATCCTGCCGTCCCTTACACACGGCCACCCCCACAAATCTAACTAACTAGCCTACCCCAGCCTAGTCTGCCCCACCCGCCAAACGCCGACCTTCCGACCCACACGCTGACCGACCCACGCACACAAAAGCCTTCTATAAATCCTACACACTTCATCATGAGCTCCCGATTGCAAGAGGCCTCTTCCGATGCGGAGATGACATGAGATGACTATCAGCTTCAGCCTTGGAGGGAAATAACATGCCGTCTCGGTTCAGAGCATTGCAGCTTGGGTGACACTGATGTGCAAGACAGTTCAGCTCACTGATCTAAAGTCTGTTGATGGCTCAGGTGTGGCACCGCCTGGCATGGTACATAGCTGAGCCAGGATTGCCATGACCTGTAGCTCTTGGAAAAGCACTCGACGCTCCAAACTCACTGCCACTGCTACCGCTACCTGTGCTGCCATCACAGCCGGTACTGGAACCACCACTACTGCCATACCACCGCTACCACTGCCACTCTTACTTCGGGCAGCGCCATTTTCCAAACGATGCAACTGATATTTGATTGTAACTGGATGCAGTTGAATGCGATCGAGCTGCTTGCAAGGTTTTAGAAAGCGAACTGCAACTTCCGCTGTTTTTCTCATCCAAGCACCTTGGGTAAGCATGAGGTAAAACCGCAGCATGCTTTAGTCACAAACCCTGAACCTGGGTCCAAAGCCTTACGCTTTGCACACCCGTACCGGGAAGCCGAGAATACCCGTCAACGTGATTCCCGAAACCACTCAAGACCTAAAGCCCTACTTCGACAGCCACCAGCAGCCAGAGTTCCGAACACGGCGATGCTCTTTGAAGGAGCGGGTTTCGCCTCCGAAGTTAAATCTGCGTTGTTTTTGGACTTGTGTAGGCGCTGATTTTTTTGCATGTGCAGGGTCGTAGGGACAGAGGACGGTGGAGCAAGTCTTTAGAAACGTTGCGCGTTTTTCGCATTTCTAGTGAAGTGTACCAGTCAGCAACCCAAGATCCCTGAGCCCCTTCCGTACAGTCATATCTTCTAGGAGACTTCCCCAAGGCCTTCCAAGGCCTGTTGCGAACCTATCTGTTCTTGAACCCTGCGCATCCAGGCCAGCAAGGCCTTAGGACTGGCCACGGTTTGTGCTGTCAAACCCGGTATCATGACGCGGTCCGCAGGAGACCCATGTGCGCTCGCTTCGCAATACGCTGAGGCCGACATGTTCGGAAGCTGGTGATGGACCCGAGCTCGTGAGCGTAGTGGGTGTTGGGGGGACGAAGCTTCGTTTTGTTGCACCTGGCCGAGCATCCGGCGATGTGGTCAGCCTGGCTTTGCAAGCCAACGAGACTGCAGACATGATCAGCACGAGACGCTAGCCGCTAGAGCTGCAGACTTGCAGCCATTGTCTTTTTCCCTCTGTCCAGGCCTTGCTGAAATGGGTCTTCCAGAAGACACCGCAGGCAGGAAACATTCCAGAGTCGTCAAGTCGTCCTAATCCTCGGTGCCTCTTCCCAGAGAGGAGCGAGTCTTCCTTGAGACGCAGGTGCACTCCCAGCGTGTGCGGTCGCCGGCGCTGCCGCTGTGCGGCATCCCAGTGCAAGTATGTTGCTGCAAGGCCACGGTCTTGGCGTAAGTGGTTCCTGTGGTTGCCATGTGGAGCTGCAAGGCCTAGCCGAGCCCATCTGCAACGCCACACATGAGGGTCCCAGGGTGGTTTGAGGATTCGGTTCACCTTCTTGACGAAACCCAGCGGTAACTTTTGGAGCCAAGGCCGGCTCTGCGAGGCGATCGCAGCCGGGAGGCCATCGCCATGCGCAAGGGAGGGGGCGCAGGGAGTGCAGGTGCGACGCGTGCGACGCGTGCGTCGCGTTCGTAGTTTGTGACACGGTTCCTGCAGCGAACCGTTGCTACTTCCAGCAAGTCGATCAGTGAATCAATGAAGCAGTCAAGCCTTGGCAGGACACCGATTTCTGTGCTGAGTCTCCCAAAAAGCCGCTCGGATTCTACCAAAGCAGCCGTGGACGTGAAGTGCACTGGATCGACAAGGAAGCATGTGACGGCTGCAAGGCTGGGGACTCTGCTTCCGACTACGCCCACGAACCGACCGGCTGTGCTTCTCGGCCTTGTGTGTGGCTTCGTGGATGTCCGCGCTGGCCCTCAAGTTAAGGTGCCGGCCGTGCCGTCCACACCGTCCCAGTGATCAGACGGAGTGCCCTTCGCCAAGCGACTTCTTGCAGGACACTCTGGCCTAAGGGCCGTAAGGGGAGGGGGGATGCAACAGATTGATTGATACAAATTGCAGTAGGAACGCTCAGATTCACACGTCAAAAATTGCCAGGACCTAGAGGGCGTGGAGGTGGAGGCACGGCATTACATGTGAGCCTGTGGACAGTAGTATTACCAAATGACGATCTTCCGGTTCCGCCGCTGCACGGCACGGCGCACAACTGCAAATTAACGCACCCTGCAGGGTGTACAGTACTATCCCTGGGCGTCAGTGCCCCTTTCTGGAATGTCCTCCGACAAGTCGACCGTTTCGGAAAACAAGAAGAGCCCCGACACGCATTGTAAGAGGTTCTTGTGCTGCGCAAAAGCTACGAAGCGATGATTCCTTGATCGTTCGGCGAAGTCTTCGGGGCTCGATTGCGGCGAAATGCATGCGGTTGCTGGCGACATTGACTGTTAATTAAGCTCCTGTTCAACAAGACAGGCATTTAACACTGCAACCCGAACTGCAGACCTTGAAGCCAGAGTATATATTCGAGACACACCGAGACTTTCCGTGTTGATGTTTGGCGGTCTGCATCACGCGATGCATTTGTATCTTGATGAAGGGTCGCCTGGTATGCGGCATCATGTTCTCATTGCACTTGCCGGGAACCGCGGAAGGGCATGCATACCGTGCTTAAGTTGCCACCGGGTGTTCCATACTAAGCTGAATCGGCCTCAGCCTGTCACCCCGAACTATGCGCGAAAGTCGTCGGTGTGGATTCGTTGAAAATTATGTTTGTTCACCTTTGGATGTTGGCACAAGCCGAAGAGCCGAAGACAGTGATTCGCTAAAATGCGCCATTTTCGGCCAAGATGGGTCAATTTCGTTTTGTGTTTCAAACTCCTCGAGAAGCCCCCGAAGGACGCGAGAAGTAGAGCGCAGCAGCAGTGTAAATTGCCATTCTTGACTTCTCATTACCGCACAAATCCGCGCACAAAAAGGCATATGTAAGTGCAAGTAATTACTGGTAGACCTCGTGGGAGCAGCGTTCGCATTCGCTCGCAGCATTTTGGCACGTAGCTCGCAATCAAACCGTTTCCGCTGAGCATGAGCTTCGGAGCGGTCAGCCTTGATTTTGCATTGTGTGTGTCTCCTTGCTAACTTTATCGGGCATGAGCTGTTGTCCCTGTCAGGCTGCGTCACTGACCAAGCTGTTTCCGGAGCCCCTCGGCCCAGACTCCTCAGATTACTGTGGTCTCCATGAAGAGCATGGACTCTTACCAGGTTAGCACTACGGCTGCTGCCCTTTGTTGCAGCACCTTGACCGCTGAGCTCAGCTGTTGTGCCGTTTTCTGGAGACGGCCGCGTTGGTTTGGCAATGCTCGGAGGTATGTGATTTGCCGGCGTTCCGGACTATTTGTCGCGAGCCCTCGCCGATGAAGGCAGTTCTTGCAATTTTGCTGGTGGGAGGTTTCAGGTTTGTGACATACAGTACTTCACCGACTTTTGACTGCCGATCCCTCTGCAGGTATTCTTGCCAGAGCTTCTGGAGCGAGTGGAGCCGCTTGTATTGTACTCGGAAAACCGCACGTTAAATGTGTCCGGACAACATGTCTTGTGCATGGGGCGTCAGATTGGTATTGTAGCGTAAACATGTTCGGGTCGAGCTGCAAAGTGAGCTGCGTTCATGCAATTCGAGGAACAATTCCTCCCGAACTTTGCCCCAGTCACAGGAATTCTATGACATGGATGACCGACGTGGGGATCCAGTTCACGTCCGTCCTCCAGTTCACGATGCTCCTCCAGTTCCCGATGCTCCTCCAGTTCACGTCACGGCAAGCCAGCAGGTACTGCTTGAGAGCACTCTCAGGGCTGCTGAGCCTTTCATCTGGAGCGGCACGCTTGCCCATGCAGCGAGAAGGCGCAAGCGTCGCAACGATCGTGCCGATCCCGGGCGCCCTTGACGGACATTCGCGACGGCAACAAAAGCTTTGTTTTGGCCCGCCAGCTGCATGTAGCGGACGTAGCCCATCCAGGAATGACTGATCCACGCAGACACTTTTTGGCTCGAGCATCGTCGCGACCTCGGCATGGCCATGGCTGGCGAGGTATGATGGGGGGCAGGGTGTGCTGAACGTTGAATTGTCGGCTTTTTGGGAAGGATTCACTGTTGAGGTTCAGGGTTATCGGGTTTGGGGTTGAGGATTTGGTCTTCACGTTTTAGGTTCCAACCGGTTTGCAGTTTGGGGTTTAGGATATGGGGCTTAGAGTTTGGGGTCTATACGGTTTGGGGTGTAACGTTTCGGGTTTCAGGGGAGGGAGGGGGTGAGTTGGGGCTGGCATGCTCGCAACATTAACTCTTTGTAACACTCTCGAATGGACTGCTTTAGCTTCCAGGGACATGCAAGATCCAAAGTCGCTTCGAGCGCGGGATTTGAGCGTGGCAAGGCGAAATATGATGAAATATGTGTAGCATGCCCTTCTCGTCCGACTTTCATTCCAAGATTTGCCTGAACTGCAGGGGCCGGACTCGTCCTTTGTCTCGGACGAGACAGCAACCGTCCGAGCCGCAGAAGGTTGCACTGCGCAGAGCTTGCGTGGAGAAGTTCATTTCAGGGGGTCGGCGAACCGAGGCAGAGGCCAGCTCCGACCGCCGGTTGCCTGCAAGCCCTGTGTGCATCTCAGTCAAAGCATGTCAGCGCTGTAGTCGCTCGGAATCATGACACCTGCGTAGATTTACTGTGCAACGTGTTGTTGCTTTTTAGCGCGTTCACTTGCACGTCCAATCAAATTTGTCGTTCCTTGGTTCAGAAACTCGCCGTGCCTTAGAAATTACATGATCCCCTTTTCAAGAACTACTGCGCCGAAAGGTTGAATCCCCTAGCTCACTTATTACAGAACTCGCCACCGCAAGCTCTGCCAGTTCCACACTTGAAATCGTCCCTCGGCCGTGAGGACGCTCGCGAGATGTCGGAAATAAGAGTCCAACGCTCCATCAGGGCCATCGCCTCAGGAGCCGCAGAGAGCCAACCGGACGAAAAGCGAGCAGCCCAAGCCCAGGCAAGCACAGCTCTCCTGTTGGAGGAGATCAAAGGCAGGGCTGGGTAAGTGTTGTGATCTGCTCCTGTTCTCGGAGATTGTGCTGTGCCAGTAACTGTTTTCTGAGTGAGTTTCAACGTCGCGGAAAACTGCGAGATTTAAGTGAGACTAAAGCGAGATGACATGGAGTTCGAGGCGAAGTAGAACATGTTCAACTGTGAATGAAACTTGAGGTCAAGGTGAACGGGAAAATAAACTGAGAGCAAACTGGCCGACTCGGGCATAGGTTTCCAGATTCCCCCGTGCATGGTAGGTAGCTGTTGAAGCGTTTCTCCCTTGCCAAACTCATTTTCCCAAATGCTTCGCACTCACTTCTGGTTGCTTGAGCACATGGTGTACACTTCCCCTTCCCCTTGCCCGCTCATGTTGTGCCCCAGACCGTCCCCCGGCTCACTTTCCCGCCCACCTTCCGCCCAGCAATCCCCTTACTTTCTCACTTTCCCGCTTGCTTCTTGCACCGGATTCCCTTCCCCATTCACTTTCCCAGTCAATTTTTCCCACCAAACCGCTTTCCCCAGTCACTTTCCTGCTCAGTTTCCGCCCCCAAATGCGCCCTCACTCACTTTCCTCACTTGCCGTTCCCGCTCACTTCCAACTCCCTTCCAGTTCGCTTGCAACTCATTTTCCAACTTGCTTCCGACTTGCTTTCCAACTTACTTTCGTTTAATTCCAACTCACGTGGAAGACACCTCCAAATCCTACTCAAGCCACTTGCAGCTCGCCATTTTCGACTCACACCAATCCAGGACTGACAGGAAGCGGATTGCACAAGGCAAGCAGCGAGGTATACAGGCCGGTCGCTTCAAACCCCAAGACCGGACTATACCGGTGCTGGCACAGGTTTGCCTCACTCCATCCTTCACCGCAGATGCGAAAAGACCCAAGGGTTATAGCGCTCTAAGCCTTTAAGCTACATGGTGGCACCCATGGTAGACGCTTCAATGCTACACCTGTTTGTTACCTCTTACTTAGAAATGCTTGAGTGTGCGCAGTGCTTATAGACATGAAGTGTGATGAGTGCAGAGTACCTGAAATGCTGTTACATACCGTCGGGATCTTGCTTATCACGGCTACCCAGACAAAATGCGATTTCATGATGCTCCTTCAATAGCAGATAGCACGTGCCGATGCCTCTTTGAAAGTTTCGAGGTTTGAGCTCTGAGCTTCGTGGTTGTCGGCCCCTTCCGGAAGGTGGGTGAGTGGTGGTGAGTGCACAGGGGTTTACAGACAAGTGCCATCCCCGATGACCCCAAGACCCTCAAGCCTCCCAAAGGTCGCTCCCGTCACGACCAACTCGTGAAGGCGAAGCAAAGTGTTGTTTTGGGGTTTTGCGAGTTAGGGTTTGGGCAAGAGCTTCAGGTGTAGACTTACGATAGGGAACATGCTTTTGGGAGCTCGGTTCACGGAGTTCAGAGTTTGTTCGGCAGCGAGGTTTGTGTCTGCTGTAGTCGGGTCCTACATCACCCAAAGTCTGGACCTTGGGCATTGCTCCCATCACAAGGCCCAGCAGCGTGCAATAGACTCGAGCAGGGCCGTCGCGAGCCGAGACTTCCACCGCACGTTTTCACAGAGCAGGGCCCCCTCTCTGGCTCTCCAGGCGCTCAGAGACACGCTGGAGGTGGTCGAGGCCTTCTCTCGTTGCCTATAGGGCTATAGGAAGTTCAGAGACTTCCGTGCATCGCACAATTGATGGGCACAATTGATGGCTGCAGTGGCCATTGGGTCATGCAGGTGAGCAGGCGGTTGGCAGATTCGCATCGGAGAACATCCGCTGACAAGGCGAGACGTTCGTGACAGTATAAAGGCGAGGCACAGACGGGCTGAAGCACTGAAGGATCGTTTTTGTTTGGGCTCTGAAACATGACGACTTACAGACTTACATCGGTGGGGAGCAGTTTCAGCTTGTCCCTGACTGCGATCTGCAGCAGGCATTGCTTACGACATCGGGATGTAAATTTTGATTGCTTTAAAGCAGCTGGTCTCAAAAGCGCATGTCCGCGAACTTCCGGCGGATTCCGGCTGCAAGCAGAAAGAGTGTCTGGAAAGCCGTGCATATGTCATAATCATAGCGTGTGCCGGGTCTGTGGACGGCCTGCCAAGCCTTATGGCGGAAGGGTTCACGAGTTCGAAGCTCCGGATATATGTGTGGACCTACTGCTGCTCAGAAGCAGTTAGCCGTTTAGTCACCCCCCCGAAGACGTGGCTTCGGCTGGACGCCGGGTCGGCGCAAGAAGCCCTTCATCAGAAGCGTCGTTGTGTCCAGACGTGCTGTTTCCCAAAGTGTGCTATCACCGACGAAGGCGGACTTAATGCAAGCAGAGAACGTGCAACTAGTGTAAATTCAGTATACGTACTTAAAAGAATAAATATGAATATATATATATATATATATATACATATATATATACATATATATATATATATATATATATATGTATATATATATATATATATATATATATAGGCACATACACTCACAAAGGATGTTTAGTGTTTTGGGGTTCTGAATTCCTATTTTGGGTTCTGAATTAGGGCAAGTACTGCCTCGCTGATTTCTGGGTTTGCTCATCATCCCAACCCTTCGAACTTTCAAGCCTTCGCTCCAGAATCGATTTCTGTTTCGATAACTAACTCTCAACCTCCAGTTTCAGTCACGAAAGCTTCTTCTCGAGGCTTCGCTATCAGGGACACCCAACAGTGATTACGCGTTAAGATTGCTGCCATGTTTTGCACCCATTGTACTGTTTTGTGGATCCTCATGGCGCAGGAGAGACTCGAGCTCCTTTTACGCAAGGCTCAAGCGGAGGCCACATGACTTGCCTACGGCTTCGGTTTAAGTTGGGCTGGCCACGATCTTAGATTCAGAGTTTGACCAAGGATTCTCATTGTAGCCTCAAAGAACACCCGCAAGGTGCGCAGAATGACTGACCAACGATCTGTCGGTTCCCAGGAAGTCCAGACAGCCTGTTTACTAAGGGCCCATACACCTTCCTACCAGCAGTGTTCTTCACAGACAACAGGATAGAAAGCGACTCCCTTCTGATGCTAGTGACACGCGGGTCGGCGGTGCCCGAAAGCACAACGCGGGCTCTGCTCTGGGAAAGAACGGCCGGGAATGGTGGGAGGGGGCACGAGACAAGACATGAGGGTGGTCGTCGCGGGCATGGTGGCCATACGCTACAAGTACATCGCGGACTACACTGTGCAGCGTTTCAAGCACTTTCAAGCTGCTACAGGTTCGGAAGTGGAAAGCCGCCAAGTGTCAGGCAGGGACAGGGTGTCTAGAAACGGTTGGAAGAAGCACAGGGGAGAGTGCGACTGCCAGAGTGATCCTAAGAAAGTCGCAAAACCCAAACTCGAAACCATTGGACAAAGGGTCTCCCGCCAGGACTCGAAGATCGCAGAGCTGACTGCCGAGAAGGCGATGAGAAAGTCGGGTGTTCGTTGTGGTATTGCCACAGCCACAAGCAAGCGGTTCATAAGCTCTAGGCGTTAAGATTGTTGCCATGTTTTGCACCCATTGTCTTGTTTTGTGGATCCTCACGGCGCAGGAAGAGCTACAGCGCCTTCTGCACCAGGCCCAAGCGGAGGCCACATGACTTGCCTACGGCTTCGGTATAAGTTGGGCTGGCCACGATCTTAGATTCAGAGTTTGACCAAAGATTCTCATTGTAGCCTCAAAGAACACCCGCAAGGTGCGCAGAATGACTGACCAACGATCTGTCGGTACCCAGGAAGTCCAGACAGCCTGTTTACTAAGGGCCCATACACCTTCCTACCAGCAGTGTTCTTCACAGACAACAGGATAGAAAGCGACTCCCTTCTGATGCTAGTGACACGCGGGTCGGCGGCGCCCGAAAGCACAACGCGGGCTCTGCTCTGGGAAAGAACGGCCGGGAATGGTGGGAGGGGGCACGAGACAAGACATGAGGGTGGTCGTCGCGGGCATGGTGGCCATACGCTACAAGTACATCGCGGACTACACTGTGCAGCGTTTCAAGCACTTTCAAGCTGCTACAGGTTCGGAAGTGGAAAGCCGCCAAGTGTCAGGCAGGGACAGGGTGTCTAGAAACGGTTGGAAGAAGCACAGGGGAGAGTGCGACTGCCAGAGTGATCCTAAGAAAGTCGCAAAACCCAAACTCGAAACCATTGGACAAAGGGTCTCCCGCCAGGACTCGAAGATCGCAGAGCTGACTGCCGAGAAGGCGATGAGAAAGTCGGGTGTTCGTTGTGGTATTGCCACAGCCACAAGCAAGCGGTTCATAAGCTCTAGGCGTTAAGATTGTTGCCATGTTTTGCACCCATTGTCTTGTTTTGTGGATCCTCACGGCGCAGGAAGAGCTACAGCGCCTTCTGCACCAGGCCCAAGCGGAGGCCACATGACTTGCCTACGGCTTCGGTATAAGTTGGGCTGGCCACGATCTTAGATTCAGAGTTTGACCAAAGATTCTCATTGTAGCCTCAAAGAACACCCGCAAGGTGCGCAGAATGACTGACCAACGATCTGTCGGTACCCAGGAAGTCCAGACAGCCTGTTTACTAAGGGCCCATACACCTTCCTACCAGCAGTGTTCTTCACAGACAACAGGATAGAAAGCGACTCCCTTCTGATGCTAGTGACACGCGGGTCGGCGGCGCCCGAAAGCACAACGCGGGCTCTGCTCTGGGAAAGAACGGCCGGGAATGGTGGGAGGGGGCACGAGACAAGACATGAGGGTGGTCGTCGCGGGCATGGTGGCCAAATGCTACAAGTACATCGCGGACTACACTGTGCAGCGTTTCAAGCACTTTCAAGCTGCTACAGGTTCGGAATTGGAAAGCCGCCAAGTGTCAGGCAGGGACAGGGTGTCTAGAAACGGTTGGAAGATGCACAGGGGAGAGTGTGACATTCCATTGCATTTTGATGTTCCATCAGGCTGAGAAGAACCTGCAGGAGCTTCTTGAAGGGCGAGGCGACTGCTAGCCCTGTGGAAGCGTAAATGTTAAACATGCTGCATGTGCGACAAGTATATTTAAGTACGTCGTAGTTCCGGCGGTATCCCTGAGCGTACTAGGCGTCCACGAGACCAACAAACGGGGGTGGTGTGTTCGGTCATGTCTTGGTTTTGGATGTTTGTTTTTGCACCCGGGCCCCGGGGAGGCACTCTACAAGTGGCAGTAGCTGCAGAAGCTGTAGCAGGAGCAGGAGCCAAAGCGAACAGGGGAAGTAGTAGTAGTAGTCGTCGTCGTAGTAGTAGTCGTCGTGGTAGTCGTAGTAGTCGTAGTCGTAGTAATGGTAGTGGTCCAGTGGTCCAGTGAGTGGTAGTGGTAGTAATAGTACGGGTAACATTGGTGCTACTGCTATTGCTACTGCTTCTGCTACTCGTACTCCTCCTCCTGCTCCAACTCCCAGTCCTCCTCCTCCTCCTCCTACTACTACTAGCTGTGGTGCGACTAATTGCCCGTTTGACGGTTTGGCGACCCTGCCAGTTCTGGGTTTGCGGCACGCTGACAGGTCCGGACGTCTGACCTACGCCTGCAGGCTGTGCTCATGCTCACTGTGCAGACAGAAGTGTATCACGTCCTGAGCGCGTTTGGCTTCTTTCACTGCTGAAATTTTGTTCTGGTCTCACCTGCGTATACCTGCGTCTTAGTCTTGGGTCACCGTCATGAGCACCATCAGCGCAATTATGAGCGTTGCCGCAATGGTCTTTGTCTCGGCGTGACCATGTTCATGCCTCCGGCTCACAATCACAGTCATCGATGCTCATGCGAAGTGGCCGCCGACCTGCTTCGTGAGGAGGACGGCTTGGCACACTTGTCTCAAGCCCTAGCCGGGGCGGAGGCTCAGAGAGCTCTCGCAGCCTGAGGCTGCACTGAGGCTTAGATATGAATTCCTCGGCCAACAAGTTGAAATGTACAGTTTGCCACCCTGTCAGTCTTTCTTGGGCAGACTGCAGTGGCGCACAAGTGCCAGCATCAACACCGATCACACGAAGAAGCCTGAGATTAGCATGCTCTCTCTGTGCATAAAAACGATGGTCTTTGCCATTGCATCGTCCAGTTGAGCGGACCTGTTTGAGTCGCATTGCTGTGCCCGAGCTCCATCACCGTGGCTTGTAGGCTCGCAGAAAGCCCTGGCAAATAAACGAACCTTCTGAGCCGTCAGTCGCGGGACTGGATGCCAACAAGACAGTCAGACATCATTTTCAGATCGCATGCAGCTACAATGAACCTCGACCCTGCAATGTCTGCCAGCTTGCCCACAAGGCAAGGCAAAGGGGTCCCAATTTTGACACCAGATTTTGCTTTCGCCTTGACTTCTTAAACCACGAGGTTTTGGAGAATGAGTCGTCGATTGATTGCAAGACTCTCCTTTGGCCGCATTGTACGTGCCGCCACTGACAGTTAGCTCCGACAGCGCTACGTCCCTGTCAGCTCGTCATGTAGATGAAAAGGTCAGCGATCCTCGAGTGTCTCTCGCGGGCAGGTGCTTCGAATCTGCATGTGTGTGTGTGTGTGGGGTTGCGTGGATGGATTTGTTGCCTCGAAGTTTGCGGCAATGACGTGGTTTCAACGGCGGTGCAGTGGCACCGGGGGAGCGGGAGCAGGCGGTGTCGATGCTGGTGGAAGCAGCGATGGTGGCGGTTGTAGTGGTGGTGGTTCACCATCGTCATCACAACACGTCGAAACACCATCATCACCAAATCTATTTATATTTAAAGAGGGCCGAGACCATGCTGCAGTTCCGACGCGGGCAAGCCATCGGGATTCTACTTTCGACTCTCCACATGTGTCCTCCGGCATCAGCAATCCTGCGCAGGCCGAGTTTTCCTCGACAGTGTGCACGCTGAGGCGACGCAGTTCGTCACTGGTGACAGAGGGGGCCGCAGCAGTTTTGCAGAGTGAGCAGTACTGACGGCAGGTCAGTAAGCCGTCAGTGACGGGTGGTGATAGCAGGATAGCCCCAGAAAGGTTTGAGGTTCTGTTCGGCATAATCGCCTGAATCTGAGGCATGTGACCCTTCAACGCATTTTGGCACCGCTCTGCAGCGAACTCGGTCTCCTTCCGATGTTCTTTGAACGTTAGCGCCCCTTCAGTTCCTCTGCTAGTAGGTGCGAAATGACATGCGGACTTCTGAAGCTCGCGACGCACTGCCCGCACGGACGTCTGGAGTCTAGAGTTGCCAAGACGCGAGAGAGCCTTGATTTTAATTTCACTGGAGGTTGCGATGCTGAAGCACTCCGAGTTTTCGTGGCCTTAGCATCATCTTCCTGGGCCGGAGACTTCGGGACTGTGACTGCAGTGGCGGAGCTTCTGGTCTCAGATCGTGCACTTGAGGTCTCGGGCTATTCTTCCTCTATGCGTGGGCTGGCTTGGCTTGTGCCCGCACGATCGTTGCTGCAACACGCTTTGTACTTGTCACTCGGCTTGGGTGGGGTTTTCGTGACCAGCCAGAGGTACTCCTGAGACGCGGCCCATATATCCCCGGAGGACTCGAAGAGCAAGGCACCCCAAAAAAATAGAAGTCAACCAGCCAGTGGGCTCCACTGCGTTGTCTTGCAGGACTTCTTTGAACTCGGGCTTGCTTGAACAGGTAGCTGGGTCTTGAATCGATTTAGGATTTAGGTTGAGGTGGGGGGGGGTAGGAGTTTGCAGTTTGCAGGGGTTGGCTCGAAACGACATCTTCAGTCTCATGATCCCTAGACTTGGTACATGAGCACCTCATATGTTTGACAGCCGCCATGTCAGACCCCTCGAATGCTTCCACCTCACTGGACGAAAAAGGAACGACGCCCCGTTAGTAAGGCGTACGGCCTACGCTGATGTTTGTGAACCCGTAACTCCTGCAAGCCGTAGTGCCCGGAACCGAAAACTTGCAAAGCCTTTCCTAACCCTCCAGCGATCGTCCAATACAGAGTCAACGAACGGATCGATGAAGCGTCTTGAAACGGCTACTGAGAGCCCCATCCAGGCAGAACGTGCCCACGCTCAGGCCCGTCCGATTTGGAGATGCACGCCGCCGCCCAGGCCATTATCTCTTGGTTCGGGAGTTGAAGGTGTTAGGGCGTTGGGTTGAGGGTTCGGGGCTTGAAGTTGCTTGAGAAGTTTACACAGGCAAGGCTTGCGTCGGAGCGTGGGAAGGTGATGACTTCAGCCCTGGGCTGCTTACATTCGGATCGTGCTGCTTTACTGCCTTGCTGCGCCCGACGCAGGAACCTGACACCCTCAACCGTAAGCCCCACATCTTCAACCCAGTACCCGGACCCTGATTCGGGGCCCTGTGCATGAAGTGTTGAGAACAGTTCAGAAGCCTATCGACTCCAAAGTTTTCAGGGTGAGGGTTTCGAGTTCATGGGCTTCAGGTTTTACGGAACCGCCCAAGCCAATCTCGGACTCGTGAAGAATTGGGACCCTGTTCCCGCTAAGGTTTCCTTGAAGTTTCGTGGTTGCGGTCTTTATTCCTGCATCCAGGCTTATCTGCGGTCGTTTGGTTTAGGGTGAACTGGCTGAAGCTAGTATTGCTTCTCGCCAGAGGCTGAGGCTTTCCTCGAAGGAACCACAAGACCCGCTTTGGCTCAAAGTGTCGTAGGAAACCCGCGGCTTCGTGGCTTAGGACTTGAGGTCCTCCGACCCAACTGGACCCAAGGCCTTCACTCGCAAAGATGAGGGTTCTGCCCACAGCCGGAGCCTCAGGGCTGGGCATGTTGCCAAGGGTTCCTGGGTTGCGCTTGCAGGTTGTGGCGGAGTAGCGTGTGAGAGAATGTCGGGCACATCGTCATTCGGCAAACACGGGCATCGAGTGCCGGACTTGGTGCGCACAGCCCAGTACTAGTGGCACTGAACAGGTGTGTTCCCGAATAGTGTGACTACATAGCACTAGCGAATTCCCTTGCCCGTGGACTCTGACAAATGTTGGGTATTGGTTCCGCTGATACTCTGGATGGACCAAGTCCTGATAACCGCTGATACTCTGGATGGACAAGTCCGGCATTACGCTTCTAGAACCTCAGAACGAGGACGTTTGTGGAAGCCCTGTCGAAACCACACGAAACCCTGCCGGCAAACCCCAATGGAACTTGACCATAAATAGTGCCGTCGCGGTTTGGTTAAGTTCGTGCGATCGGTTTATGGAACACTTTCCAAGGAGACTTGAATCGCAGGTTGTTGCTTGGTTTGAGGTTTAAGGGTCTAGGATGTTTTGGTTTGGGGGCTGTGGGGTGTATGTTGTTCGTGGTTTGGTGAGGTGCGGTTGCAGTGGGGTCAAGCGTCTCGAGTCATACTAAGCCCCGAACTGGTGCTTGAAACAGGGTAAAGCCCTTGCCTCGGATATCAAAGTTAAGCTCAACACCCGGGTCTTGCAACAGCCTACGTACATCACGCGTGTTTCGCTGAGCGAGAATGCCTCTAATGGGGTAGTTTTGGGTTACGTCTTGCGGCCCCGAGGCTATAAAGATATTTATTTCAGTTGTTGCTGCAGTTGGCACCCGTCGCAAAGGCAGGGCTGATCTCGCGACCTCGTGCGGAAGCACAGCCTCTTCCAGCTGTCTGCAGGGCCAGGAGTTGTAGGGCTCAGCGATATTAGGAACGGGATCTCGGTGAATGCGGTTCTTGGTGTCGAATTCTAGCGACCCGTGTCAGAGTGCCGGTGCGCCATGTTCCGACATGAAGCTGGTATTGTGGAAGGAAGACTTTCGTAGGACTGCATGCCCAGCCTTATTGAAAGGCAGAAAACATGTGCAATTTGAAGCAAGCCACTGCGATGTCGGGTCCACCCCTTCCCCCTCACTCTGCCCAAACCCTGCAACCAAAACCATATACACCCCCAACTCTAAGCCCTGAGCCCAAAATCCTCAACCCCAAACTGCAAGCCGTTTGAACCCTAAAACCTGAAGACCAAATCCTCAACCCCACACCCTAAAAGTTGAACTTCAACCCTGAATCCTCCGCAAGGACCGCGCAACACTATCCCCAATTCAACGTTCAGTACACCCTGACCCCATCGTACCTCGCCAGCCTTGGGCATGCCAAGGTCGCGACGATGCGAGCTGCAAGCGGCGCAGTACCGGCAACTTCGGATCCAGGTTTGGGGTGCATGTTCCACGCGCGGAAAAGGATCCTGATCTGTGTGTGAGGATTGTTTAAAGGTTTACGGTCCAGGACTCCTGATGAAAAAGGCCCTGTCGATAAGGGCCCTAGGTTTGGAATTCCTCATATGTTCGTTTTCGTGTTCAGCCGTGTATTCATGAGGGGCCTGCTTTAAGGCTCGTCGAAGACTTGGGGGCCAAGGTATGCGATCTCATTAAATTGCTTGATGCTGAATTTGCGTTGGGGGTTGTCGGGTTGCCGCTCCCGTTTCGTTTGCTCACGTGGCCTGGACGGTGTGCTGACGCAAGGAAAGGTTACCAGCTCATAAGCCCTGAGTCAGTGCCGTACAATTCTCACATATCAGGCGCATAGGGGCCCTTGCTTCACTAGACGTTGGTTCCACGTGGTCGGTAATCAGAACATCCCAGGAATGATGCAAG